TCCCAAAATTTTTTAAATCATTTCTAAAAAATATTAAAATTTCATTTTAATCTGATTTTATTTTAATCTGTCACAATTATTAATAGTTTAATTTTTATATTTCTTTGCAAAAACAAGCTACACTTTTTGATAACTATTGCTTAAGTATGATTTTTTTTTTTGGATCTTCTATAGTATAGGTGGGCAATTAAAAAATATTATAATAAAAAAACTTTAACTTTAACTCTAACCTAATCTAAATTTAAACTATAACTCTCACCTAACTTTAACTAGTTCTGAATTTGCTTAAATTAGTTCAAATAGTTAATTTTATATATTATAATCTTATAATATTCTATTTTGTCTACCTATACTATAGATCAATCTTTTTTTTTTACTTCCAATACTAATCTATGACCATGAAATATATAGTGAATTGTAGATACCAAAATATCTATATTTGTATTTTTTGCGAGGTAAGCCCTCACTTCAACAGCAGTAGAGCACTTATAAAAAGTAATGAGATTTACTATTTTTCTTTGGGTTGGTTTATCTAATAAAGTTGGATGACCAACACAGGTCAAAATAAAACAATTCAAATTCAAATTGATATCACAAAATCCTGACATGAACCCAATTTTAAACAAATATTTGGTGCAAATATAAGATACAATTCGAACTAATATCAATATACAAGACATATCAGTAAAATGATAGCTCAATCAATAAATCAATAGAGCTTATCTTATAGCTCTATCGATTTACCCATTGTGCTATTATTTTGCTAATATGTCTTGTATGCTAATATTAATCCGAATTGTATTTTATAGGTCTCATATTTGCGCCAAATATCTGTATAAAATCAGGTTTATGTCAGGATTTTGTGATGCTGATTTGAACCCAATTTGCCTTATTTTGACCTGTACAACCTTTGCTAAATCTTTGAGTGGTTTGTTGATCACTTTTTTTGATTTGTGAGACTATAGAAAAGAAATATTATGAGCCTGACCTACTGCTCTTGTTATGTACCATTTTTGGAGCAAAAGTAATACTTGGGCTCATTTGGTTAGAGTTGTTCTGGTTTTCTTTTTTTTTTTCTTAATTAATTAATTCTAGCATCATACAAGATGCAAAATCAACAATGAGATTTATATTTTTAAATGTATTTATACCACACAGATCACATGATCTGATCCTTGTTAAAAACAAGCAAAATACAATACATGTTTATGATGCCTCCTAAAATTCTAAAATTAGAAAAAGGCACTATTAGTGAATAAAATAAAATAAAAAACTACCCAATATTATACTTGTTGGCAAAACCCGGACAAATTCTAAATAATAAAAAAACAATTGCTATTTATAAAAGATTAAATCAAATAAATAATCTTAATATTTTGTAAATATATTATTTATAACTATAAGAATATATATAATTTGTTTAAATAAAGATTATTAATAAAGTTTTTGAGATATTAGTTATACTAGAATTTGGGATTTGGAATGGCGGACAAATCCCAAACTATAGTAAGTCGGGATTTTGCCAACATGTATACCCAATATGCCCGGAATTGCGAGATCTAAATAAATTTTTTTTTTGTTGCACTACTTATAATTGCCAGTGTAGTAGCTTTGTTCTTTGTAGTAGATTGCTATTACCATACTCAATGCTATAAATTATGAAACAAAAGGCATTTTTAAAGACAAGATTCTTTTCAAGTTTGTTATTATTCTTACTTTAAACATAAAGATAATAAATTATTTACCTCGATCGACTGTTAACTATAGTATATACCAATTGGAGTTTCTAACTAAATAACATTCATATCTCGAATATTCGCCAAATACGATACAGAATTTATTTATTCGAATATGTTATTTGCTGAATATTCAGAAATTACCGTAATTGGTTACCAATTACTGTAATTTCTGAATTTGTCTGAAATATATTGTATATACAATATATATATCTGATATATATACTGTATATATAAATAAATTTTTTGGTATAGGTGATTACTTAATAAAATTAGCACAAGTGTAATTTTACCCGAAACTGTAAAATGGGAAATTTTGATGGTTACTCTAGGAAATGCAATAAAGTAAAGCTTCTAAATTTGGGTGTAATAAAGACAAGCAAACACATTTGATAACAATTTTATTATTGTAATCGCCGAACTCACATACATCGCGAGAACCAACCTTCCTATTTAAGATGTCTACTTTAAATAATGTCGAAAATAATGGCGAGTCAAGCAATTCAAAACGATCCTCTCTCGTGAGTTACAGTTTGTATTCCTTTTTTCTTCTAGTCACGTTGTTGATATGTTGGCAGTGTAAATTCTCTTTTAATTGTTAAAAATTTTATTCATTAGTCTGTACTTAGTGCGCTTGATCCAAAAATGAAGGTAAGCAAAACATACTACACTAATGATTTATAAAATTCTATATTAATCTTATATTTTGTGTACAGTATCTAATCTCTCACTTAGAGAACAACAGAGAAAAATCACGTCTATCAGATAGCGAGCTCAAAATGCTGTTGACTGATGTGAGAAGTATCGGGTCAAGATACGTAGGTAGTTGATTTATCATGTGAATGTTAAATAACACTGCCTAATAATTTGATAAATGTTCATGATTTTCTCATTTTACGATTTACGATCTTTATCGTTAAAAGGCAGATTCTGACAGAGTGAATCAAGCTATGCTTTATGAAGCAATAGATAAGGTTTTAAATAATTTAAAAAATTATCATGTAAGTAATGGGTGCTTTGTTTAACAGATTGTTATTATCGTCTTTTATTTGACGCAATTTTGAATTGTCTTTAGCCGTATTCTTCACCTTTTCAAAAAAAAGTAAATCAAAAGGAAGCACCGGACTACAATGAAGGTTTCCACACAATTATTCTATATATATATATACATATATAAAAATGATTTTATAAACCATTGTTATTGAATTAAATTTATTTATGCTCAGTTATAAAGAATCCTATGGACCTCGGAACGATCGCTAAAAAATTAAAAAATCGCGCTTACAACAGTAAAGAAGAATTCGCAAATGATCTTTATTTAATATATACGAATTGTATCACTTATAACACCCATCCGGTAAGAATTTTATAGGAACGTGTTATGGTTTAGGTTACTATAGATCATTCGTTGAGCATTTTTGATAAAACAAATAGGACAATATCTTTCGAAAGTATGCTATAGCTATGAAAGAGAAGATGGATGAACTTCTTGAAGCTGTTCCGGATGTTAAAATTCAAACCCTTGCTGAATATAAAGCAAGCTTGAAACAAGATTATGGTGAATTATTTAAAGTAGAAAAAAAGTCGCCATCATTAGATCAGCATATCGAAAGCGCCTCGAGCGCTTCTTTGCAAGTAGAAGGTAGTAATAATTATTTACTATTTTATTTTTTGTGATATTTACTCTTAAGAGTTATTGAGATGATCTTCTATTATGGAAGATGAGCCGCCGGGTACCGATGCTGGAACAGATGTTCAATTGGCAGCAGATATGACGGGGCACTCTCAAGCGTCTCAAGAAAATTCATCAGATGAAGAAGAAGATAAGGAAGCAGATCGAGAGGTTCAAGAAATGCTCAAAAACATAAGACTGATCCCTACATTACCATTATTATGGGATCCTGAAAAAGATAACCCAAATCGGGATAAATTTTTTGACTCAAACTATGATCCAAGGTACTTTATGTTGTGTTTAATTTTTTGTTGCTTTTGATTTTTTTGTTACATTAAGGTATCATAATGTCTTATTTATTCAATAGCGCCAATCTACCAACTCTTGACCAATATCCTCAACTTCAATTCCCGAAACAGGGCACTAGTGCGATGATCGAAAAAAATATCGAAACTCTTAAGCAATCCCGCATTCTTCATGCCAAACTTGTATCTGCGAGGCATAACATTCCGGTAAATCTTATATTATGATGATTACTATCATTTTATTATTCGTAAAATTTTGCGTTTCACGTTATGTACATTGTTTTTTAGTTGAGTCATCTTGGTATTTCAGAAAAGCCTTTAGAAGAGACGCCAATAATTAATCCTACAATTGACCAAAGGGATTTACCGCCACTTACTTTGAACAAGGAAACCGGCTTTGCTTGTATGCAGCGCGTTGTTTCTAGGTTATGTCAACACGCAGGATTTGAAGGTAATTTCAAATATTTAAATACATCTAATTTAATGCGATCCTTGTCTTATTTGCTATTGTTATCTACTTAATAGCAACTTCTAGTAGGGCTTTAACTATTTTAACTGAAGTCGCACAAGATTATTTCTTAAATTTGAGTAAAACTTTACGTACATATATGGATGAATACAGTAAAAAGATGACTCCTGAGGTAGAGTATATTATGTAATCTTAAAATCATCAACATTTTTCTAATTATTAAATTTACTATATTATTAGGAAATGATTAATCATACATTGTATGAAAATGGGGTTTCGTCCGTAAAAAACCTTGAATCATACATCCATGATGATATTCAACGTTATGGTACGAAATTACAAGATATTAAACGCCGTTTGGAGGCTGCCTTATTGGTAATAATCTTTAAATACATCCATTATTTTATTATAATTTTATTTTGCCAACTTATTACTTACAAACATTTACAGCAACCTGAGGAAATCGAAGATGATATCCCTGATGATGATGCATTTTTAACGTATGTGTTAATTTATACTGACTATTTAGGAAATTTAGCTAAAAAAAAAAAAAAACGATAAACGATAATATTTTTTCAGGGGTGTGTTCGGCGAAGAATTACATGATGATTACTTCGGATTCAAAGAGCTCGGTTTAGGACCTTTGCAGGTAAATTTAAATTGATAAATATATATTTTAATGAATCATTGTCAGTGTATTTTATTTTTAAAAATTGTCATAACAGGTTCCTCCACAATTAATTCTTGGGTCGAAAAGAATAAAGCCTTTACCTAAGAAAGCCTCAGAACATGATGAACGACAATGTAATTGTCTTTTTTTTTTTTAATTATAATTATTCGCAATTTCTTTTAGCATTACACCGATACTTAGAAGTTTTATGTGTATAAAATTTAGTACCTCGTCATATTCCACCACCACCATGGTCTCCAATAACAGATCCAGAAAGTCAAATCGGTTTGTTAAGAGACTTCTTTCGTGATAAAAAAAATGCCTCTATTAACGACCAAATAATTGAGGTAAATTTATATTCGCAAAAACAAGAATAATGAGACTTTCCATATTTAAAATTATTTAATGTTTTGTTTAGGATGAAAATCTCCCCGCTAAGCATCGAAATCAAAGGCCTCGTGTGCCTCCTACGGGCAAGATTCCCCCACAACCTAGGAGGCAGCTGCAAAAATCCATCGCACAATCTGCTGCTGCTCTTGCAGAAAAAAAGAAGAAGAAAGAACGAGACGCTGCAATTGCAAAAGAAAAGGAAAGAATTAAGCTTCTTAAAGTGGAGGAGCGTGAAAGAAAAAAGGCTGAGAAGAATGAACAAAAGCGACAGAAACAATTAGAAAAAGAAGCCGCAAAGAAGGCAGAAGCAGAGGCTAAAGAGGCTCGAAAAGCAGAAATAGAGCATCAGAAACGGCGTGCTCAAGAAGCCAAAGAAGCAAAAAAATTAGAGCAAGAAGCCCTGAAGAAAGCGGACGCAGAAGCAAAAAAGTCTGAACCTAAAAAGAAAAAATCGACCAGCTCAAAAACCGGAAAGTTGGCAATTACGCCACCACAAGCAGATGTCAGTTCATCTGTGGCGTCATCTATGTCTTCCAAAAAGGTTCATTATTTAGATGTTGATTCTGAGACGGTGCCACTCGGACAACTCAAAAAACAACGTAGAACAGAAGTTACAGGCTCAAAACAAACCAACCGTCCTTCTCCAACGGCAAAAAAGAGAGTTCCACATAGCTAGATATGAATATATTGAATTTTTATGGTTTAATTAACCGTGAGTATAATTTATTGGAACCTTGGTTTTGTAATGAGTTGAAGGAAAATATAAGCATCTTGACATTTTAATCACGTTAATATAATGTAAAAAAGAATATTACGTAGCATTGACTACGGTGCAAATCACCTAATCGCATCAAATATATTAAATTTTGCGCCACTATGCTAATAATTATTTAAGGAAATAAT